TGTGAGGGGGAGAGAGGCGTGAGGGGGAGAGAGAAGATGTGAGGGGAGAGAAGGTGAGGGGGGAGAGAAGGTGTGAGGGGAGAGGTGTGAGGGAGAGAAGGGGTGGGGGGGAGGAGAAGATGTGGGGGAGAGGGGTGGGGGAGAGAGGTGTGGGGGAGAGAGAAGGGTGGGGGGAGAGGTGTGGGGGGAGAGAGAGGTGTGGAGGGGGAGAAGGTGTGAGGGGGGGAGAGAGAAGGGTGAGGGGGAGAGAGAGGAATTGAGGGAGGAGGTGTGAAGAAAGATAAGATAGATGAAGAAAGAATGAGGGGGGGAGAGAGGTGGGAGGAGGTGTGAGGAGAGGGAGGAAGGAGGTGTGAGGGAGAGAGAGAGGAAGGTGTGGGAGGGGAGGAGAGAGGGAGGGAGTGAGGAGAGTGAGGAGACGTGGGGGAGAGAGGGAGGAGGTGTGAGGGAGAGAGGGAGGAGGTGTGAGGGAGAGAGGGGGAGGAGGAGAGAGTGAGGGGAGAGAGTGAGGGAGGGAGAGGGGAGGAGGTGTGAGGGGGAGAGAGGGAGGGAGGGAGAGAGTGAGGGAGAGAGTGAGGGAGACGTGGAAGGAGAGGGAGGGTGTGAGGGAGAGAGGGAGGTGTGAGGAGAGAAGGAGGGAGGGAGAGAGTGAGGAGAGAGGGAGAGAGTGAGAGACGTGGGGAGAGAGGGAGGTGTGAGGGAGAGGGAGGAGGTGTGAGGGAGAGAGGGAGACGTGAGGGAGAGAGGGAGGGGTGAGGGGTGAGTGAGGGAGCGTGGGGAGAGAGAGGGAGGTGTGAGGGAGGAGGGTGAGGGAGAGGTGAGGGAGGTGTGGGGGAGTGAGGGAGAGAGAGGAGGGAGAGAGTGAGGGGAGAGAGAGGAGGAGGTGTGAGGGTGAGTGAGGAGGCGTGAGGAGAGTGAGGGTGTGAGGAGAGAGGGAGAGTGAGGGAGAGAGGAGGAGGTGTGAGGTGAGTGAGGGAGGAGGCGTGAGGGAGAGAGTGAGGGAGAGAAGGAGGTGTGAGGAGAGAGTGAGGAGGTGTGAGGGAGAGAGAGGAGGAGGTGTGAGGGAGAGAGGGAGGAGGTGTGAGGAGTGAGTGAGGGAGGAGGCGTGAGGGAGAGAGGAGGAGACTCAAAGCGCAGATAAACACTAATGTAAAATGAATGTGCCAAATCACAACACAAAATAAAATGCTCTCACGCTGGCAACACTGAGTCAGGGCCCCAGAATGTCAACATGGGGGAGAGTCGACCTTATGCGCTAGGTGATAAGGGTCAGTGTTGTATGTGAGCCCACCTTGGGAGTTACGACCTTATTGTGAGATATACAGACAGCAAGGCTAAGGATGGTAATGGTGGTGGGGGGAGGGAGGAGGGGAGAGAGAGGGAGGGGGTGAGGGAGAGAGAGAGGGAGAGAGGGAGAGAGTGGGAGGGTGAGGGAGAGAGAGGGAAGGGTGAGGGAGAGAGAGGGGAGTGGTGGAGGAGAGAGGGAAGGTGAGGGAGGAGAGGGAGTGGTGAGGGGGAGAGAGAGGGAGGGTGAGGAGAGAGAGAGGGTGAGGGAGAGAGAGTAGGAGTGAGGAAAGTAAACTAATGTTACTCTATCTATACATACATACATACATACATACATACATACATACATACAAGCAGTTATGTTGTTGTTTACATCACTAATACATTACCCTCGCCGCCATCTTTGTTTTACATCTTTCTACAGGTGATAGTCCTTGTTTCTTCCGCCTCACGTATGGCGGTCGTCTGGTTTTGTCACTTTCCTTATTAAAGTTTCTCGTGAGCTTTAAGTAACATTTTATACTCCATTTAAGGTCGTAAATTGTTCCGTAAATGGTTGTGAATTGGTTAAGGAGATTTCCGTGTGTGTGTGTGTGTGTGTGTGTGTGTGTGGGTGTGTGTGTGTGTGTGTGTGTGTGTGTTTGTTTGTTTCCTGTGTGTTTGTATCTGTTTTTCACTTGTTTTTTTGGTATAAATTCCTGGATATTTTCATCTTGTTTCCGACTGTCATTTGTTATTAATTTGTTTTGTTTACTTTTGTTTTGGTGTCATCCTCCCCGCCCTCTCTCCTCTCACTATCCCTCTTACCTTCCCACTCACCTCCCCTACCCTTATATCTCACCCCTAGTCACCTTCTCCCCCTATCCCTCTCCCTCCCTCTCTCCTCTCTCCTCCTCTCCCCAGTTTCAGATGTCTCTCACTTTCACCCAAGCCACAAAAAGTTAAACTTGCCTCCTAAAGTTAACTTCACACACACACACACACACACACACACAGTAGTTTCCCTCCAGTCAGAATTTGGAATCTGGAATTGGGTTAAAAAAAGTAAATTGGAAATAATAATATAATTTGTTGGTAACGATGACGATGATGATGATAATGATAATAACATCAATAATAAGGATAAAAATAATAAAACAATAATAATAATAATATATAATAACAATAATAATAATAATAACAACAATAATATATTAATATAATTATAACAACAATAATATATATATTTATATATGTAACACTATTAACAACAATAGTATTATAATAATAATAATAATAATAATAATAACTAATAATAATAAAACAATAATAATAACCACAATAATATTAATAATAACAAGAACAACAGACCAAGATAAACAATTACAACAAAGAAACAACAAACAGATACAACAACAGGTTATAACAACTCTAAGGTTAATAAAAAAAAAATTAGTTCAGTGTTTATTTATTTATTGAGACAGAGACAATTAATCTCTCTCTCTCTCTCTCTCTCTCTGGTGGATATAGAGATAGAGAGAGAAAATAAAAAAAGAAAGGCAGACAGACAGACAGGTAGACAAACAGACAGACAGACAGACAGGTAGACAGATAGACAGACAGCATCACCCATAACTCAGGTAAGTGCCACGGTGTAGTTCTCCAGAAGAAAGATGTACCTGGCCAGCTCATTAACCTTATCCCCAATTGATCTCTGCGTGTTCTGCTCGCCCGGGTCTCACACAACACCGGTAAGGCCTGTAGTTCTCGTTGTGTCTCCTTCAGGTTGTGATGCAGACCCTGGTGGTTGTAAGGGAGAGGTTGTAAGGGAGAGGTTGGAAGGGAGAGGTTGGAAGGGAGAGGTTGGAAGGGAGAGGTTGGAAGGGAGAGGTTGGAAGGGAGAGGTTGGAAGGGAGAGGTTGGAAGGAGAGGTTGTGTGTGGTTGTGAATGTTGTTGTGTTTTGTTATTATTGTGTGTGTGTGTGTGTGTGTGTGTGTGTGTACAGTATCTAAGCTTACAGTAACACGTAAGCTTGACTTTATTCTTAACAGTAAAAGCTTAAGGTGTCCTCATTTGTGCACAGGCGGCTGGCCTGGCTGGGCGAGCGCTGGCCCAGGCAGAAGGCCAGACCCAGGATGCTGGGGCCGGGATGGGGCCAGGCTGGGCTGGCCGGGCGCTGGCTGGCCTGGGCGGGCACAGGCGCAGGCGCAGGCCCGGGCGCTGGGCGCAGGCCAGGGCCAGGGCGCTGGCCGGGCCAGACGCTGGGCGCTGGGCAGCTGGGGCCAGGCCCCGGACAGGGCCGGGCTGACATGCCAGGAGCCAGATGGCCTGGGCCAGGGGCCGGGCCTGGCTGGCCTGGGCCTGGCCAGGGCCAGGGCGCTGGCCTGGCCGGCGACCTGGCCTGGGGCTGACCCTGGGGCGCTGGCCTGGCCAGCTGGCCTGGCGGCACTGGCCTGGCAGGGCCAGGCGCTGGCCTGGCGGGCGCTGACCTGGCAGATGGGCGCTGGCCCGGGCTGGGCGCTGGCTGGCCTGTGGAGTGGCTGGGAGGCGGGCCTGAGGCCTGGGCCTGGGGCTGGGCCTGGGCCAGGGCTGGGGCCAGGGGCCAGGGGGCCTGGGGCCTGGCCAGCCAGCCAGGGCTACCTAACAGCATTAACTAACCTAGCAAACACTAACAAACCTAGCAAACACTAACCTAACCTAACCAAGCACTAACCAAACCTAACCAAACACTAACCTAACCTAACCAAACACTAACCTAACCAAACCAAACACTAACCTAACCTAACCTAACCTAACCTAACCAAACCTTACCTTCAACAAGTCATTTCTCTCCTCATCTTGTAACCAGGAAAGATCGTCATTATTTGGTTTCATCCTTCTGTATTTCCCAGGCACCTTCTGTAGTTCCTCCCCATCCTGCTGCTGTACCTCCTTCTTCTCCTCCTCCTGCTGTAGCTCCTCCTCCTCCTCCTGCTGTAGTTGTTCTTTTCGCCGCTGTAGATAAGTGAGAATCGGCCAAAATTCTGAGGTAAGGTCAATTGTAGTCAGTGAGGTCTTGTGTGATGTTTCTGTTACTACTACTACTATCACCACCACCATCTTCACTACTACTGCTACTACTACTGCTGCTGCTGCTTACGACAACAAGACAGACAGACAGATAGATAAATACAGACACAGACAGACACACAGACAGACAGACAGATAAATACAGACACAGACAGACAGACAGACAGACAGACAGACAGATAAATGCAGACACACACACAGACAGACAGACAGACAGACAGATGAATACAGAACACACACACACAGACAGACAGACAGATAAATACAGACACACACACAGACAGACAGACAGATGAATACAGACACACACAGACAGACAGACAGATGAATACAGACACACACACAGACAGACAGACAGATGAATACAGACACACACACAGACAGACAGACAGACAGATGAATACAGACACAGACAGACAGACAGACAGACAGATAAATACAGACACAGACAGACAGACAGACAGACAGATAAATACAGACACAGACAGACAGACAGACAGACAGATAAATACAGACACAGACAGACAGACAGACAGACAGATAAATACAGACACAGACACACAGACAGACAGACAGATAAATACAGACACACACACAGACAGACAGACAGACACACACACAGACAGACAGACAGACAGACAGACAGACATAGACTCACCTTCTTAAAGACAAAGTTAGGATAGAGCCCGGATGTCAGCAGGTCCTGACAGCTCCCCACACACTCGTCAACATATCGTGCTCTAGTCAGCCTGGGTGCTGACATACTTACTTTGTTTACATTACACGTCAGCCAGTTAACACCTTCCTGTGTATGATGATATATCTGTTAGTACACATACATACATGCCTACATATATACATACATACATACATACATGACTCACTTGCCACGGTCAGCTGGGGGATAGTGGGTGGGGGTCGGCAGGGCAGGTCTTCGCTCGCACTGGCGCTGCTGAACGGCTGTGAGGAAGAAGATGGTCTTTTACTCTTCCTGACACTTCCTAATACTTTTTGACACCTCCATAACCTAACCAAACCTAACACTAACCTTGCCTAACCTAACAACTTAACACTAACCAAACCTAACACTAACCTTGCCTAACACTAACCTAACACTAACCTTGCCTAACCTTACTTAACCTAACCTAACCTACCTGCCGCTGTGATAATCTTGGTATCTCTTAGTGCCTGCTGTAGTACATGCCCGTGGCCCTTCTTCAGGTAAGCAGTGGGTGCAGGTGTGAGCGTGGCAGCCTCTCCCATAGTGGCGTGATGACCTTGTTTCATCCCGAGGTCTTCCTTCGCTCTCTCATGATGCTTTGACACGTGCCTGAGATGAGGTTAGGTTACGTTAGTGTTTGGTTAGGTTACGTTAGTGTTTGGTTTGGTTACGTTAGTGTTTGGTTAAGTTACGTCAGTGTTTGGTTAAGTTACGTCAGTGTTTGGTTAGGTTACGTTAGTGTTTGGTTAGGTTACGTTAGTGTTTGGTTAAGTTACGTCGTAGTGTTTGGTTAGGTTACGTCAGTGTTTGGTTGGGTTACGTTAGTGTTTGGTTGGTTACGTTAGTGTTTGGTTGGATTACGTTAGTGTTTGGTTTATTGAGTGTTTGGTTAAGTTGATGTTTGGTTAAGTTAGTGTTTGGTTGGGTTGATCGTTTGGTTGGAGTTTGGATTGGAACGTTAGTGTTTGGTTAAGTTACGTGTGAGTGTTTGGTTGGGATCGTTTGGTTGGGATGTTGGTTGGAGTTTGGTTAGGTGGTCTGGTTTGAGTTTATCAGTGTTTGGTTGGGTTAAGTTAGTGTTTGGTTAGGATTAGATTAGATTACGTCAGTGTTTGGTTTGGGTTATTTGGTTGGTGAAATGTTTGGTTGAGTTCCCGTTAGTGTTTGGTTAAGTTACGTTAGTGTTAGGTTACGTTGAGTCTTTGGTTGGGTTACGTTAGTGTTAGGTTAGGTTACGTTAGTGTTTGGTTAAGTTACGTTAGTGTTAGGTTAAGTTACTTTAGTGTTTGGTTAGATTACGTTAGTGTTTGGTTAAGTTACGTTAGTGTTTGGTTGGATTACGTCAGTGTTTGGTTGGGTTGAGTTAGTGTTTGGTTAGGTCGTCAGTGTTTGGTTGGGTTGAGTGTTTGGTTAGGTTACGTTAGTGTTGGGTTGGATTCGTTAGTTTGGTTGGGGTTGTTTGGTTAAGTTGATTAGTGTTTGGTTGGAGTTTGGTTGAGTTGTTGGTTAAGTTGGTGTTTGGTTTAGATTATTAGTGTTTGGTTGGTACGTCAGTGTTTGGTTGGGTTGTTCGTTTGGTTGGGTTACGTTTAGTGTTTGGTTGGGTTGTCAGTGTTTGGTTAAGTTACTTAGTGTTTGGTTGGATTCCGTCGTTTGGTTAGGTTACGTTTAGTTTGGTTAGGTTGACGTAGTGTTTGGTTAGTGTTTGGTTGGAATTAGTGTTTGGTTAAAGTGTTTTGGTTGGAAGTCGTTTGGTTTGGCTGAGTTAGGTTGGTTGTCATTGGTTAGATTACGTTAGTGTTTGGTTAGTTCACAGTGTTTGGTTGGAATTGGTGTTTGGTTGGTTACGTTAGTGTTTGGTTGGGTTACGTCAGTGTTTGGTTAGGTTACGTTGGTGTTTGGTTAGGTTGGTTGTTAGTGTTTGGTTGGATTGTTTGGTTGGGTTACGGTGTTTGGTTGGGTTACGTTAGTGTTTGGTTAGGTTACGTTAGTGTTGGTTACGTTAGTGTTTGGTTAGGTTACGTTGTGTTTGGTTGGGTTACGTTAGTGTTTGGTAGGGGTTACGTTGGTGTTTGGTTAGTTACGTTAGTGTTTGGTTAGGTTACGTTAGTGTTTTGTCAGGTCACGTCAGCGCGCCTGGTCAGGTCACGCCAGCGCTCGTCAGGTCACGCCAGCGCCTTTGGTTGGGCGTCAGCCTTTGCGCCTGGTTGTGCCGCCAGCGCCTGGTCGCTTCACTTCAGCGCCCGGTCGGCCACGCTAGTGCTCGTTGGTGTCGTCAGCGCCTGTCATTACCTTTAGCGCTCCGTTGATCACGTCAGCGCTCGTCAGGTCACGTCATGCTTGGTTGCTCACCTTTGGTGCTCGGGTCAGTCTCCGCCAGTGCCCGGCAGGTCACGCCAGTGCCTGTGTAGGTCACGCCGCGCTCGTCAGGTCATCACTGTGTTCCAGTCGCTACCTTTAGTGTCGGTCGTTACCTTTAGCGTTTGCCGTTACCTTTAGCGCTCTGTCAGTCACGTCAAGTGCTGGTCAGGCCTTAGTGCTCGTCGTTACCTAGTGCCTGGCCAGGCCACTTTAGCGCCCGGCTTGTCACCAGCGGCCTGTCAGGTCACGCCAGCGCCCGGGTCAGGCCGTCGCCCGTTGCCAGCCACGTCAGCGTCTGTCAGGTTAACGCCAGTGCCTGCTGTTTACTCGTAGTGCCTGGCGTCACCAGTGCCTGGTTGCCACCTTAGCGTTCAGTTGTCACGCCTGCGTTTGCCGCTTCACCCAGCGCCTGGTTGTCACTTGGGTTGTCAGGTCACGCCAGTCTGGTCAGCCACGCCAGCGTCTGGCTCGCCACCTTTAGTGCTCCGTCAGCCACCTAGCGCCCGGTCAGGTCACCAGCGCCTGGCCCAGTCAAGCCAGCGCCTTGGTCTGGTCACGCCAGCGCCTGGTCAGGTCATCGCCAGCGCCTGGGTCAGTCACGCGCCCGGTCGTCACCGCCAGCGCCTGGTTGCCGTCGCGCCTGGCTGTCACCTTAGCGCTCGGCCGCTTCACCTTGGCGCCCGTCAGGCCACGGCCAGCGCCTGGTCAGGTCACGCCAGCGCCTGTGCCACGTCAGCGCCTGGCCGCTTCACCAGCGCTCGTCAGGTCACGCCAGCGCCTGGCCCTGGCCACGCCAGCGTCTGGTCGGTCACCAGCGCCCGGTCGGGTCACCCAGTGCCCGTCAGTCACCAGCGCCTTGGTCAGGCGACGTCAGCGCCTGGAGCGGGTCACGCCAGCGCCTGGTCAGGTCACCCCAGCGCCCGGGTCGTCGCCCAGCGCCCGGTCAGGTCACGCCAGCGCCCTGGTCAGCCACCTCAGCGCCCACAGGTCACGCCAGCGCCTGTCGCCCTTAGCGCCCGGCCAGGCCACGCCAGCGCCCGTCAGGCCACGCCGCGCCTGGTCGTCAATGCCAGGCGCCCGGTCAGGTCACCAGCGCCCGGTCGGGTCACGCCAGCGGCCTGTCAGGTCACGCCAGCGCCCGCCGTCACCCAGCGCCTGGTCAGGTCACGCCAGCGCCCGGTCAGGTCACGTCAGCGCCCGGCTGCCGCCTGGCGCCGTCAGGTCACGCCAGCGCCTGGTCAGGCCACCAGTGCCCGTCAGGCCACGCCAGCGCCTGGTCAGCCCACGCCCAGCGCCTGGCTGCCACCCCAGCGCCCGTCGCCAGCGCTCTGGCCAGGTCACGCCAGCGCCTGGTCAGGTCACCCCAGCGCCCGTCGGGTCACGTCAGCGCCTGGCCCAGTCACGCCAGCGCCTCGGGTCGGTCACTCTTGTGCGCCTGGTCAGGTCACGTCAGCGCCTGGCCCGTCACGCCAGCGCTCTGGCCTGGTCACGCAGCCCGTTGCCACGCGCCTCGCCAGGCCACGCTAGCGCTCTGGTTGCCACTCTTTAGCGCCTGTCAGGCCACGCCAGCGCTCGTCAGTCATCGTGCGCTGGTCAGGTTCACGTTAGCGCTTGCTGCCACTTAGTGTTTGGGTTAGTTAACGTTAGTGTTTGAAGTTACTCGTCAGTGTTTGGTTAGGTTACGTTAGTGCTTGGTTGTTACGTTAGTGCTGTTAGGTTGCCGTCGCGTTTGGTTGTTACTTTGGTTTTGGTTAGGTTACGTCAGTGTTTGGTTGTTACTAGTGTTTGGTTAGGTTACGCAGTGTTTGGTTAGGTTACGTTAGTGTTTGCTAGGTTATGTCGTGGTTTGGTTGGTTACTTAGTGTTTGGTAGGTTACGCCAGTGTTTGGTTGTTACTTTAGTGTTTGGTTAGGTTACGTTAAGTGCGGTTGCCATGTCAGTGTTTGGTTGGTTGATTAGTGTTTGGTTAGGTTACGTTAGTGTTTGGTTAGGTTACGTTAGTGTTTGCCAGGTTACGTTAGTGTTTGGTTAGGTTACGTCAGTTTGCTGTTACTTTAGTGTTTGGTTAGGTTACGTCAGTGTTTGGTTAGGTTACGTTAGTGTTTGGTTAGGTTACGTCGTGTGTTTGTTAAGTTACTTTAGTGTTTGGTTAGGTTACGTTAGTGTTTGGTTAGGTTACGTTAGTGTTTGGTTAGGTTACGTTAGTGTTTGGTTAGGTTACGTCAGTGTTTGGTTGGTTACTTAGTGTTTGGTTAGGTTACGTCAGTGTTTGGTTAGGTTACGTTAGTGTTAGGTTAGGTTACGTCAGTGTTTGCTGGTGGTCAGTGCTGGTTAGGTTACGTTAGTGTTTGGCGATTACGTTCGTGTTAGGTTAGGTTACGCCAGTGTTTGGTTGGTTACGTCAGTGTTTGGTTAGGTTACGTTAGTGTTTGGTTAGGTTACGTCCGTGTTAGTTAGGTTACGTCAGTGTAGGTTAGGTTACGTTAGTGTTTGGTTGGGTTACGTTCGTGTTGGGTTAGGTTACGTCGTGTTTGGTTAGGTTACGTTCGTGTTAGGTTAGGTTACGTCAGTGTTAGGTTAGGTTGCGTTGTGTTTGGTTAGGTTACGTCAGTGTTAGGTTAGGTTACGTCGTGTTTGGTTTGGTTACGTCGTGTTTGGTTGGTTACGTCAGTGTTGGTTGTTACGTCGTGTTTGTTGTTACGTCAGTGTTTGGTTTGGTTACGTCAGTGTTTGGTTGTTACGTCAGTGTTAGGTTTGGTTACGTCAGTGTTTGGTTAGTTACGTAGTTTGCGTTACGTTCGTGGTTAGGTTAGGTTACGCCAGTGTTTGGTTAGGTTACGTTCGTGTTTGGTTAGTTACGTCAGTGTTTGGTTAGGTTACGTTAGTGTTTGGTTTGGTTACGTTAGTGTTTGTTGTTACGTCAGTGTTTGGTTTGGTTACGTCAGTGTTTGGTTAGGGTTACTCAGTGTTAGGTTAGGGTGTATTGGTTTGGTTTGGTTCCGTCAGTGTTTGGTTTGGTTACGCGTTTGTTGTTGTCAGTGTTAGGTTAGGTTACGTCAGTGTTTGGTTAGGTTACGTCAGTGTTAGGTTAGGTTACGTTGTGTTTGGTTGGTTACGTCAGTGTTTGGTTGGTTACGTCGTGTTTGTTGTTACGTCAGTGTTTGGTTAGGTTACGTTAGTGTTTGGTTTGGTTACGTTAGTGTTTGGTTTGTTACGCAGTGTTTGGAGGTGTTAGTGTTTGGTTAGGTTACGTTAGTGTTTAGGTTGGTGGGTTTGGTTAGGTTACGTCAGTTTGGTTAGGTTGTTAGTGTTTGGTTTGGTTACGTTAGTGTTTGGTTGGTTACGTTAGTGTTTGGTTAGGTTACGTCAGTGTTTGGTTCTGGTTACGCCGTGTTTGGTTGGTTACGTCAGTGTTTGGTTGGTTACGTCAGAGCTTGGTTTGGTTACGTTAGTGTTGGTTAGGTTACGTTAGTGTTTGGTTAGGGTTACGTCAGTGTTTGGTTAGGTTGGCGTTAGTGTTGGTTAGGTTACGTTAGTGTTTGGTTAGGTTACTGCCGTGTTTGGTTAGGTTACGTTAGTGTTTGGTTTGGTACGTTAGTGTTTGGTTGCTGTTAGTGTTTGGTTAGGGTTACGCTCAGTGTTGGTTAGGTTACGTTAGTGTTTGGTTAGGTTACGTTAGTGTTTGTTAGGTTAGTCAGTGTTTGGTAGGTTGTCGTGTTTGTTGTTACGTCAGTTTTAGGTTGCGTTAGTGTTTGGTTAGGTTACGTTAGTTTTGGTTAGTTATCCGCGTTTGTGTTACGTCGTGTTTGGTAGGTTACGTTAGTGTTTGTTAGGAGGTTAGGTTACGTCAGTGTTTGCTAGTTACGTTAGTGTTTGGTTTGTTACGTTAGTGTTTGGTTGTTACGTTAGTGTTTGGTTAGGTTACGTCAGTGTTTGGTTAGGCGTTAGTGTTTGGTTAGGTTACGTTGTGTTTGGTTAGGTTAGGTCAGTGTTTGGTTAGGTTAGGTCAGTTTGTTGTTGTCAGTGTTTGGTTAGGTTACGTTAGTGTTTGGTTAGGTTACGTTAGGTGTTGGTTGTTAGGTCAGTGTTTGGTTAAGTTACGTCAGTGTTTGGTTAGGTTACGTTAGTGTTTGGTTAGGTTAGGTTAGGTACGTCAGTGTTAGGTTAGGTCACACTTACCTCTTTTTTCTCTTGATTATAACTGGTCGACGAGGCAACAGGTTTGTGATGTTTTCTTCTGCCATTGTGTCTTCTTCTTCTTCTTCTTTCTTCTTCTTCTTCTTCTCCTTCTTTCAAGTCTTATTTATCCCTGTGTCTGATGATCCTTTGGCCTTTATTCTGTTATTTATCTGTTCCCCTGTCTGTCTGTCTCTCTCTCTCTCGTCTTCTGTCTGTCTCTCTGTCTGTCTGTCTGTCTGTCTCTCTCTCTGTCTATCTGTCTCTCTGTCTCTCTCTGTCTGTCTCTCTGTCTTCTGTCTGTCTGTCTCTCTCTGTCTCTCTGTCTGTCTGTTCTCTCTGTCTCTGTCTGTCTCTCTGTCTCTGTCTGTCGTTCTCTGTCTGTCTGTCTTGTTGACTTATAGTGTGTTTGTGATCAGTATTATCTACTAGTATCCTGTCTGTAAATATCTCATGTATGATGTATGAACACTCGTTGTGATATACCTCGTGTGTGATGTATATCTGTGTGTGATGTATACCTCGTGTGTGTGGATGTATACCTCGTGTGTGATGTATACCTTGTGTGTGATGACTGTGTGATGTATACCTCCTGTATGATGTATACCTCTGTATGATGTAAGTACTCCTGTATGAGCTGGTAGCCAATGAGGTTCTGTTGGGTCAGCTGTTGTTGTTGTGGCTCTGTCGTTGCTATGGTAACCGCGTCTCACTGTAGTCATGGTAACGAATATTAATGGATCAAATTTTCAGTGGATTGAGCCCTCCTTATATGTATCTCTAATATGTACTCGCATGTTAAAATGGGTCGAGGGTACACACACATATACATACACACACCATAGTAAGAGTTTATTTATAATCTTTAGTAATAATAATAGTTATCCTTCAAAATAATATTCTCGTTTTCTAGTTGAATAGAATCAAAGAAAATGTAAGTTTATGACTAACTTATATATTTATGATTCTTTACAGTACATGTGTGTGTATACCATTGTCTGTATACCACACTGTGTAAGTATATTGTTTGTATACCTGCACTGAATAAACCTCCATTTTTTATTCTAATTTTGTCAAGGGTGACTGCTCCATAGTCACCACCACCACTGAGCTGGTAGATTGTTCCATAGGCCTACCACCACTTGAGCTGATAGATTATTCCATAGGCCTACACTATGGAACATTGTATACCACACTGTATATACCTATAGCGTGTATATACATGATAAATCAATATAAACTTCCACAGCGTCACATAACATCTATCTACATTAGTCACTCTTCAAAATGGTAACATCTAAGAATTGTCTTATAATGAATTTATTTTCAGTAATAATATATAAATTTATGGTAAAATATGAAAAAATTTATTTTAATTTTATAACATAAAATAGAACTATAAATTTGTATTATTATAAAGTTTTCTTGAAATTACATATATAAAGGTATGTTATTTTATTTATACTACAGCAACAAGCAGTCAACTTTTGTAGGTAGTTGGCAGCTACCAAACAGGGAGGAACATATTGGAGACATACAGCACCATGTTGTCCAGATCCTGCTGCCATGTGACCAGGTTGATGATCTGACTGTGTGCCTCATTTACACACAGGGTCTCAATTGTTTCCTGACAACACAACACAACGCAACACAACACAACACAACATAACACAACACAACACCATATACATATTGTTTTTCATTTTGATTTTTTAATTTTTTATTTATTTATGGTTCTTTATTGTTTATTATCATCAGTGTTATTATTTAATTTTTAATTTTGTATTTTTATTAAACATTTTTTAACTATGAACTATTATTATTATTATTATCACATTTTCGCCCCCAGCCTGATGTGGGTCAGTGGCCTGTGCCTGGGTGGGCTAATCCTGTATAAACAAATATAAAATAAACATATAGTTACAGGTGTACGGTACAGTATGTAAGTACATTATGTCATCCTCTTATTTTTCTCTCACTGTCACGAGGCATAAAATAAAAGCCTCAATTAAAATTCCTTTTATTTAACAACTTCACAATATTCTTAGTCACATTAAGATCACATTAGCACCACTCAGAGCCAGCCTGGCACCACTCAGAGCCAGCCTGGCACCACTCAGAGCCAGCCCTGGCACCACTCAGAGCCAGCCCTGGCACCACTCAGAGCCAGCCCTGGCACCCTCACAGAGCCAGCCCTGGCATCACTCAGAGCCAGCCCTGCGTTATCTCACAATATTCAGCAAGTAATACATAACATCTCCTTAATCACAGGACCCTATACACAAGGAGGCATTTGTGCCGCCAAATCAAAGGAATTAGTGAGAGCGACCTGGTGTGAGGCTGTAACCAGCTTTGGCTTCCTTAGGCACAAAGTCTAGGTCAGACCGGTCCAGGGTGGTCCAGGTTGGCCGTGGGAGGGATGTAGCCGGCGTGACAGCCAACACCGTCAGGACGGCCTCCACCGCGCCCGCCGCTCCCAGCAGATGTCCGTGGCGCCTTGGTCGACGACACGGCGAGATTCTCCGCGTGATCTCCGACAGCGACTTTATTGCCCGCGCCCGACGGCATCTCCCAGAGGCGTGGACGTCGTGGGCGTTTATGTATCGGACATCTTCGGGTTGAGGCGCTTCTTCATGGCCCTGGCCATGGCTCTGACCGCTCCTTGCCGTCTTCCTCGGCGCCGTGTAGTGGTGAGCGTCTCCCGTCAGGCCATAACCCCTCCCATAAATGGAAGCTCCATGGCGATCACGCGTGTCATTCTCCACGTACCATCATCCCCGAACCTTCCCCCGACAAATCCTCCTCTCAGGGCGTCGAAGGGTCTAGACGCCTTCTGGGCAGTCGTTGTACCCGGGTTGGGGCGCTCTGAGGCGACAAGAAGCCGCACCCAGCGGGTTTATGCTGCCTCCGTGCGCAGACACCATCACATCCAGCGCCCCGCTCTGATGAACCTAAAAGCGTCCCACCAGGTGGGCACCGTGGCACAGGCCGGACACTGTGTGTTGGGTCCCTCAAATGAATACTTCATACTGATCTGGCCAGCTGCCATATTGGTCAATATCCTGGGCACAAAGTAGGGGCTGACTCTACTGTACCTGTCCCTGAGAGCCTCCCCGTGGCCACCACGCCGTTCAGGTCCACCATCCCCATCCCCACCACGCCCGGTCCGTTCTCGCCTCGGGATCGTCGGGCTTCCACCGTGCATTTTCTACGGCTCGGGCGCCACCAAGGCAAAGGTAATGGCGGGAGTCATGGGCACGCAGGTCACCGGGCCAGTGGGACGACAGATCCAGTTCTCACCTTGTCCTCGAGGAACACTGGCACACGACACGGCATCTGCAACAACACAGTACGTCTAATACATGAACACTGACAGGTAATAATAATAATACCTGTAAACAATACCTGTAATAATAATAATGCGGTAAACCCTCAGAGATCCAGACCTGGGAAATACGGATTTCGGAAGATCCAGACAAAATTTGTGGGCTATGAAGTTTCCCTAAGAAACATTCCCAAACCAGAGCAAAGAACATTTTAGGGCCGTGGGCCTGCTTTTGACCCAGTTGCTTGGTGCCCGAGGAGGTGGGAAACAGTTGTTGTTTGTGGTAATATTATTTCACTTACTCTGGTAATGATACAATGTTTCTTATAATGTTATCACAGGTAAATGCTTGGTTTATATAATATATTTATCACTACATTAGTACTGTATTTTGGGTGTTTCTTATATCATTTATCATTCGGCGGGAAAATCCGACAATCGGTTTTATGGACAGGTGATGCCCCACTTTAGTCCGGATCTTGAGGGTTGACTGTACTGCAATAATAATAATAATATTGTACTGCATAATAATACCTGTATAATATAATAATATAGTTCAGTGGTCCTCCATTAACGAGCGGTTCAATCTCCATAGACTTCAGTTTAATCAAGTTACCCCAGTAAGGATTCGGTTCTATTAACGAGTACAAATTTATTAACGACGGCTCACGAGAATCGCTTTTGGTGCTCCCATCGGCTGGTCGCACTCGTCCGCCAATCGGTTCTCTGTTTACCTTTGTTTCCAGTGGAGTAAACATAAAGAAAGTTGTGAATATTTGTACATTAAAAATTATTGGTCATTTAGTTAACATATTGGTAATATGAGATGTTGGTTTAAATAAAATAATCCATAATTAGTTAAATAAATTGTTGTGAGCTTAAACTTTATTGGTGAAATTATCAAGCTTAGGTCCCAAGAAATCTCTGAAGGCGATTTCAATCTCAATTAAAACCATAAATTATTAAGAAAGTGATTCACCTTCCAAGAAGCATTAAAATGGTCTTTCTCCTCCTCCTCCTCCTCCAACATACTGTACACAACCTTAAAGTGTTAAAATATTTGAGGTATTATGACATTATTTTGTTTATATTTAATGTTTTGTTAATTCTATTACTGGTATACAGAACTTTGTTTATACTTTTTATTTCATTTATAGGGAATTATGTGAGTTAGAACCAATGTCACCTTTTGTTTAACCCCTGACTTCCATTTATACACCTCATCATATCGCCCCTCACTCTACGCCTTCGAGGGAGTGCAAGTTAAGATGCTTTAACCTGTCTCTATACTCAAGGTTCCTAATGCCCGATTAGTCTTGTCATTCTCCTCTGAATTCTTTCCATGATTCTATATCCATTCTGTACGGTGACCAGAATTGAACTGCGAATCCAAGTGTGGTCTAACAACCGCAAAGATATAGTCTTAAGATGACCTCCTTGTCTTGTAACTAACACTTTTGTATGAACCCAAGTACTTTATTATTTTGTTACGAGCAAAAACACATTGTTTACTTGACTTAAGATTCCTACTTATCATTACTCCTAAATCTTTCTCGCAGTCGGATTTCTCAATAAATATCGTTGTTCATCTGGTATCTGGTTTCCCTGTTTACATCTCCTAGACTAAGTTCTTTACACTTTTGTCCACATTAAATTTCATCTGCCATTTTTCAGACCATTCAAAAATTTGTTTAGATCTTCCTGTAGTCTTGCGGAGTCCTCGTCAGATTTAATTACTAATAATACTGTAGTAATAATAATAATTATAATAATAATACATGTATTAATAATTATAGTAGTAATAAAGGGTA